AGACCCTGTCTAAAAAAAAGAAAGAAAAAAATGTAACAAAGATTTTGTCTACAAAGATATCCATTACATAATTACTTATACTAGTGAAAATGGAAAACAATTCAACATCGTAGGAATGTTAAATACATATGGGCTATATTATAGGCATTAATAATATTTTTGAAGAAATTTTAAAGACAGAGGAAAATATTTTTCATGGCTAAGTGAATAAAGCAGAATCTAAAATTGCATATACAATATGATCTCAGCTATTCTCAACTCAAGTCTCTTTACTTTTTATTGTAAATTGGCAAATTATAGTGCTATATAAGTCTCTCTAGTTTGGTTCAACAGAGCAAATGCATTCTTATATCACATTATTAAAGTATGCCCTCTAGAACAGTTCTCAAACTGTCTGTAGTGAAGGATGCATTTTTTAAAATTTCCAGTCTTTTATGGACTGATATTTTTGTGAAATGCAAGAAAAACTAGTTACTAGAAAACTGAAATGAAAAAGAGCTATAAAATACAAGCCTCAATTTTTAAAATTATTACATTCAGATGAAAAATTACTGGCAGTTCCTGTAAGCTTCTAAATGTTTGCTCTCAATTATTGCATTTATCTAGTTGTGGACCAGTAACAGTTTGTGGTGCTCACTTTTAGAAGCACTGCTCTAGAACAAGCAGCCTGCCACTCTGTCCTGTTGCTCACATCTGGGCAACAGAGGGAGATCCCATCTCTAAATTAAAAAAAAAAAAAAAAAAAAAAGAGCAATATAAGCTTATTGTAATAATAGTACAAGAAGGGCCTTCTCCTCATCTCTACTCTCCAAAGGTGACCACCGCCAAGTTTCTTGTGTATCAGTCCAAAATGACAGCTTTCTACATTGGCACACACAGATCCACCTTGTTTTTTTTTTAAGAGACAGGGTCTCACTGTGTTGCTCAGGCTGGTCTCTTTTTTTTTTTTTTAAATTAGATTAATTAATTAATTAATGATTTTTGAGACAGAGTTTCGCTCTTTTCACCCAGGCTGGAGTGCAATGGCGCAATCTTGGCTCACTGCAACCTCTGCCTCCTGGGTTCAAGCGATTCTCCTGCCTCAGCCTCTTGAGTAGCTGGGATTACAGGCATGCACCACCACACCTGGCTAATTTTGTATTTTTAGTAGAGACGGGGTTTCTCCATGTTGGTCAGGCTGGTCTTGAGCTCCCAACCTCAGGTGATCCCCTGCCTCAGCCTCCCAAAGTGCTTGGATTACAGGCGTGAGCCACCATGCCCGGCCTTTTTTTTTTTTGGCTCTGTCACCCAGGTCGGAGTGCAGTGGCGTGACTTCGGCTCACTGCAACCTCCGCCTCACAGGTTCAAGCGATTCTCCTGCCTCAGCCTCCCGAGTAGCTGGCATCACGGGTGCATGCCATCACGCCTGGCTAATTTTTTTGTATTTTCAGTAGAGACAGGGTTTCACCATGTTGGCCAGCCTAATCTCGAACTCCTGACCTCAGGTGATCCAGCCGCCTTGGCCTCCCAAAGTGCTGAGATTCCAGGTGTAAGTCACCATGCCTGGCCTTCCCAGGCTGGTCTTGAACTCCTGGGTTCAAGCGATCTCCTGGCCTTGGCCTCCCAAGTGCTGGGATTACAGGCATGATCCACCATACCCAGCTTCCAGCTGATAATTTTTATTGGCTGCATAATGTTCCATTGCGTGGCTGCCCTACTGAGTTTATTGCCAATACCAACAATACTGCAACAAATCCTCCAGAGCTCTATGCCCACGTATCCAAGTATATCCACAGGAAAAAGTCCTTGCTGGGTATGTGCACTTACATTAAGAAAAACAAGCTCTATTGAAATATAATTCACAGACCATACAATTCACCCTTTTAAAGTATATAATTGTGTGATATTTTATTATACTCAGAGTTGTGCAGCTATCACCACTCATTACAGAACATTTTTATCACCCCTAAAAGAAAGCCCATATCCATTAGCAGTCACTCTCTGTTCTTCCCTTTACCCAGGCCTTTGCAATTACTGATCTACTTTCTGTTCCTATGGATCTGACTATTCTGGGCATTTCACATAAATAAAAGTATACAGTATGTGGCATTTTGTGTCTGGCTTCTTTCATTTAGCAGCACATTTTCAAATTCATCCGTGTTGTAGCATGTGTCAGTACTTCATTCCTTTTGATAGGTGAATAATATTCCACTGTGTGGAGATAACACTTTTGTTTATCCACTCATCAGTTGATGGCCATTTGGATTGCTTCCATTTTTTGGCTATTATGAATAGTGCTGCTATAGATATTCATGTACAGATATTTGTGTGGACATATGCTTTCAATTTTGTTAGATGTACACCTAGGAGAGGAATTGTTAGGTCACATGATAACTCTATGTTTAATATTTTGAGGAGTTGCCAAATTGTTTATCAAAGTGGCTCCACTATTTTAACCCTTCCAGCAATGCATAAGAGTTATTTCTCCACATCCTCACCACATTGATTATTGTGTCTGCTTTATTTTAGCCATCCTAATGGGAGTAAAATGGGATCTCATAGTGATTTTGATTTGCATTTCTCTAATGGCTAGTGATGGCCAGGCACAGTGGCCCTGGCCTGTAATCCCAGCACTTTGGGAGGCCAACGAGGGCAGATCACTTGAGCCTAGGAGTTCAAGACCAGCCTGGGCAGCATGGCGAATACTTTGTCTCTATAAAAAATACAAAAATTAGCTGGACATGGTGGCAAATGCCTGTAGTCCCAGCTATGTGGGAGGCTGAGGCAGGAGATCACCTGAGCCTCGGGAGATCAAGGCTTCAGTGAGCCATGATCATGCCACTGCACTCCAGTGTGGGTGACAGGGTGAGACTTCATTTCAAAAGAAAAAAGGCTGTTTGTATATGTTCCTTTGGGAGAAATGTGTATTCAAATCCTTTGCCAATTTCTTAATTAGGTTGTCTTTTTATTGTTATGAGTTCTTTATAGAGTCTGGATCTAAATCCCTTATCACATATATGATTAGCAAATATTTTCTCCCACTCTGTGGGTTTTTTCATTTTTTTTCTTCCAAGTTTTATTTTTATTTTGTTTTTTGAGATGGAGTCTTGCTCTGTCACCCAGGTTGAAGAGCAGTGGCATGATCTCGGATGACTGTAACCTCCACCTCCGAGTTCAAGCGATTCTCCTGCCTTAGCCTCCCAAGTAGCTGGGATTACAGGTGTGCGCCACCATGCCTAGCTAATTTTTGTATTTTCAGTAGAGACGGGATTTCTCCATGTTGGCCAGGCTGGTCTCGAACTCCCAACCTCAGGTGATCCACCCAGCTCGGCCTCCTAAAGTGCTGGGATTACAGGCGTGAGCCACCACACCTGGCCTAAAATACCTACATTTTTTAGAGATGGGAGTCTCACTATGTTGTCCAGGCTGGTCTTTAACTCCCTGGACTCAAGCAATCCTCCCATCTTGGCCTCCCAAAGTGCTGGGATTACAGGTGTGAGCCACCATGCCTGGCCTTTTTAAAAAGAGTTTTATAGTTTCATCTCCTACAGTTAGGTTTGTGGTTCATTTTGAGTTTATTTTTGTATATGGTGTGGGGTAGGGGTTCGACTGCCTCCTTTTGCATGTGGATTTCCAGTTGTCCTGACACCATTTGTTGAAAAGACTACTTTCTCTGTTGAATTATCCTGGCACCCTGCACTTAATTTTTTTCATGCCACCTTGTCTAAGAAGCACTTATATTTTTTATATTCCCAAATTGTCCTCCAAAGAGGTTACACTGGCATATAATCCCATCCATAGAAGCTAAGAGACTGTATCTCAGATTGGGCATTGAAGGTTAGCAAGGACATTAATGAGCTCAAGCTTATCAGGGACACACAGCAGAGTGGAGTGTGCAGGGAGCTTGAGAGTGTCATGAAAGGGGAGGTTGAAGGAAGTAAAAATGTTTCTCTCAGAGAAGAGAAAAAATGCTGGGGAATGTATATCTGGTGGGCCTGAGTTTAAAGCCCCGTTCTGCTCCTTTCCAGCTGAGTAGCCTTGGGTAGCTGTCAGATCCAACTCTGAACCTCAGTTTCATCATGTTGAACCAAGATGGAGACCACAACAACCTTTGTAGGGTTGTTGTGAGGAGTAAATGTATGTAAATATCCCAGCCCACGATAGACTCTCAGTAACGGTAGCTATTGTGACTTTTCTATATGTGGTATATGTGGCTGAGATCATGTGATTGTGGGGGAGCATTGCAGCCATTTGGTGAGTATGAGATTTTTAATGATGACTGATCACATGTAGAAACTTGGATCTACTCGTAAATGTCACTGTCACCCAGAGCAAGGCAGTACTTGAAGTCTTTGCTGTGACACGTTAAGGGGGGGAGAGGCTGTGACTGAGATTGGATGTGACAGCAAGACAGATCCTGAGTGACAGAATGGAACGGAGTAGAAGGAGGCAGACTGCACCAGGCAAAGGTGTGTCCCCAACAGGAGCTGCCTAGGAGTTCAGATGTCAGAGCAGGTGTCTGTCTCTACTGTCCCCTCCCCAACAGACTTCCCTCCCTACTTTCTGAAAGCAAAGAGGAAAGGAGGGAGCTTTCCCCTCGGAAAGGAGATCTTGATCAGAGTGTAGAATCTACAATACCTAAGGAGTTATGACTTAAGCACCTTTGATATCACCACCCAAAGCTCAGGAAAAGAATCTGCTGGAACTGTGTGTAAAATGGGTGGGGTCGAAGTTAGAGTGGCTTCCCTTCTCAGCTTTAGTCTTCAGAGTGGCCGATAAAAACAGAATCGAAACCTAAGCATTCCTTCCTCCTCTCTGTCCCCTGGGAGAGGGAAGAGAGAATAAATGCCACATCTCATTAAGCTTTTACGAGCTCAGGCGGGCAGAGTGGGCCCACACCGGAGGCAGGCAGAGGGCTGGGGGAGGCTGCAGGAAGGATTCCCCAGTTCTCTCAGGGAAGATGAGTTCCAGAACTTAAAGACCAGCTCCACAGAAAATGAAATAAGGGTTAACAACAGATGTGGGAGTAACAGCTGCTTTTATTAACATCAGAAGGGCAACAGTACAGGAAGTTGGGTAGATGTGGGGACAACAGAGACTGTGGCAGAGGCAGGACAGAAGATCTACGGAAATTGCCTGGAAGAGTCAGCTGTAAGGCATGAGAATCCTGAGGGTAAAAGAGAAAAGGGAAAGACTCCTCTTGGATCTTATGAAGCTGAAATAACAAGATCTTAAACATGAGTGAGGACTCTTTTGCCCCAACCTAAGGTGACTTTAAATCCAAGGTATAAAACATGGCATGGATATTAGTTTGAATAGGTAAAATGAGAACTCTCTTTGAGCTAAAAAAAAAAAAAAAAAAAAAGAAAGCATTAAAACCCTGATTAAGGCTGCACAATGATCCAGTGTGTAAGGATGGGAGAGAGAATAAATACCCTAGTGACCCACATATTAAACAGACCACAAACAAGAGAACAAGACTTGAGGCTAATGGAAGGTCAACTTGCCCATGCCGCCACGGGGGGCAACAGTGCCACAATGCCACGTGGGCACTAACACACACTGTATCCCCCCAGTCCCTGCCCGGGTTGAAGGGTGTGCAGATCACAGCAGCAGAGCTGCCTAGACTCAGGCAGGGCAGGAACACCCACTGCTGATGCAGTGGGAGGTAGGGATGGGGAGCCTGGCCCTGGCTTTGTGCGAGTGCAAAGAGAAGGAACACAGAGGTGAAATCAAGTCGCTGGGGCAGCGCTTGTAATATTGGGGTGACCGTGGGAGGGCAGTAGCAGACACAAGAATAATGGCCTTCCCAGGCCAAGGTCCATGTTCTACCATCTGGCAGGAAAGCCAGGGGTTTATCATACATGATAAAACCCACACAGCTGGACTCTGGGCAAGGCCCACTTTAGCCAATTAGAAGATACACTGTCTGTGGCCAGGCAAACAAGCTCCTCCCAGCTGGGGAAGAGGTGAGAATCCCTGGGCCTTGCCCAGTCCTGAGGTCTGGGTGTCTGCAGGGAAGCGCAGTGGTGAAGAAAGCATCCAGCAAGGTAAGAGGGGCTTGGGTAGCACCCTTTGCTTCTGTCACTTCCGCAAAAACTTCTTGTTGAGGAGGAAGATGAGAAGGTTGACATTGACTTTGGCCTTGTTGAAGAGTTTCATGACAGCCACACCCTCATACTGGAGCTGCAGGAGGTCCTAGGAGGGAAGAGGCAGGGAGGGGAGTTTAAGGGCTTCTGAATGTGGTCCTGTACAAAACACTCACATCATGGGGCCTTCTGCAGTCACCAGTGGCACTGGCCACTGAAGTAGGGCATTGAAATCCCACTTCACAAATGAGGAGACTGAGGCAAGAGAGGTACAGTGACTTCATCAAATGTCAGCTCAAGCAGAACCAGGGATTGAAATTGTTTTCCTTATTTTATTTATTTATTTTTTTGAGACACAGTCTCACTCTGTCTCCCAGGCTAGAGTGCAGTGGCGTGATCTCGGCTCACTGCAATTTCTGCCTCCCAGGTTCAAGCGATTCTCCTGCTTCAGCCTCCTGAGTAGCTGGGATTACAGTCAGGTGCCACCACACCAGGCTAATTTTACCACACCAGGCTAATTTTTGTGTTTAGTAGAAATGGGGTTTCACCATATTGGCCAGGCTGGTCTCGAACTGCTGACCTTGTGGTCCGCCCGCCTCGGCCTTCCAAAGTTCTGGAACTACAGGCGTGAGCCACTGCACCCGGCCAAAATCATTTTTCTTACTCAAAAGGCAAAACAGCAGAGCAAAAAGATTTGGATTTAAAACTACTGCTTGGCCGGGCACAGTGGCTCATGCCTGTAATCCCAGCACTTTAGGAGGCCGAGATGGGCAGATCACAAGGTCAGCAGTTTGAGACCAGCCTGACCAACATGGTGAAACCCCGTCTCTACTAAAAACACACAAAAAGTTAGCCAGGAGTGGTGGTGTGTGCCTGTAACCCCAGCTACTCAGGAGCTGAGGCAGGAGAATCGCTTGAACCTGGGAGGCAGAGGTTGCAGTGAGCCGAGATCGTGCCATTGCACTCCAGCCTGGGAGATGGAGTGAGATTCCGTCTCAAACCAACAAACAAAAAAACCAAAAAAGCAACAACAACAAAACCCAAAAACGCCACTGCTTCACTCCTTTCCTGAACACTGGCCTATGACTTAGGCCAGCTTCTTAACCTTTTAGCCTAGAGCTTGTAAAATAGGGATAATACTTCAGAGCTGTGGAGAGGATTAAAGGAGGTAACATGTAAAGTCCTTGACATGTGATAGGGCTTCAAATATTAATCCTGCTTCTGACACCAGCAGCCCACTCCACTCTCCGTGATGCTGGGTCTGTGTCAGGGCATGGGGAAAGGGGGGCTGGGGCTGCAAAGACCCCCACCCTTCTCTTCAGGAACAGACAATACTGATTGGGTGAAAAACTGAGCTGGTGTCATCTGAGGACTAGGGAAGTGAGGCCAGTTGCTCTCTTCAGCCCAGCACCTAAAGCCCAGCAGGTGTCCTGCAGGCTCACGGGACTGTCCCCTCACCTGATAGTGAAGCTGAAATCGCTCCATGTCCACACCCAGGAACTTGGCATTTACTTCAAACTTTCCTGCCTCATCTCCCGGGGTGATGTCAAAGATGACGTTTCTGAAGCTGTCAGGAACAGGATTCAAAACAGGAACCCACTGCCTCTTTCCAGGGCTACAGCCACATTCTTGCACCTACTGCTCCTCATCCTGGGCAGCGGTGTCATCCAGAGCCAGCTTTCCCTCTGTCACTCCCCGAGGGTCCAGCTCGCTGTCTTCTCCTAGTTTTACTTCTGCTCCCCACACCATCTCTTTATCTGCCCCGCCCTACCCAGCTGTTCTCACCTCTGGAAAGCTTTCCCAGTACCCTCGCCTCAGGGCATCTAGAACTGTGCTAGACCATGTCCACGGCCCTTTACTTTCTGTCTGGGCATGCTCTGTCTCCACCATCATTCTAGCAGCTCCTTCAAGACCGGGACCATGCTTCTCCTTCTCTTCCACCCGGAGCCCACAGCTCCACCCCCAAGTTAGAGGACAGGAAGGGGCTGACATCCTGCCCTCCAAAGACATACTGAGAGGCGGGAAGATCTTCAATTTCCACCAAGACACCCTTTTCCAGAAGCTGAGCAGCAGTGTAATGAAGAGAAGGCTGCTTCTTCCCCTTCCCAGAACTCCTGATTAAAAGAAGGCCCCAGAGAATTCATCCAACAAACACTTTACCACCAAAGAAACTTGTTTTTTGTGACTGGAAAGGAAATGAGACCCCAAGAAAGACTTCTCACTGATGGAAGACAGAGGAGGAGGGCTGCACTTGAGCCCAAGACTTTGTAAGTGAGGCTCAAAGACCAGACTTACGAAGGGACCGTGCTGTGCTGGGTGAGATTCCCCTTTCACAGCTGGGAGATAGTGGGGCAAAGGTGACATGGGCAGGGGTGAGAAGTCACACATAACCGTCCAAGTACGAGAAAGCAGCACCTACTTGGAGTCGGGGGCCAGGTGGTCCAGGCAGGCCCGGATGTACTGGCTGTAGTAGTCACCCTGCTCCTCATAGAAGGTGGTCTTAGTGCTCAGGCCCTGTAATGTGGCCTGCAGCTTCACCAGCTCCGCCTTCCGCCTGTGCCTGTGTCTGTGCTGGCTGCGGATGTCCTGGGGTTGGGGAACAGAGGGAGGGATGAGTGGTCCTTCCTGGCAGGAGAGACTTAGGGCCTGACACAAGCCCAAGAGTTACACACTGAGGCTCTTCGGAAGAACAGGCTTCAGGGCTGTTTTCCTAGAAGGAAAATCTCAAGGATGGTATTCCAAATCCTTAAGGCATGTCCTCAGGGCCTCTGTCCATTGAGGACTAACTGGTTTCAAGGCCTTTGTTTTTTGGTAAAAGAAAGTTGCAAGGATACTTTTGTAGGTCATAAGCTGAGGATTGGGTTTTCATGCTCATGTGTGAGATATGCTTCTCTCAAACCTTCTGACCTGGGCACATTACCCAGCTAATGTGGAAAAAAAAAAAAAAAAGAGTTGCAAGAACACCCTCCTCCCTGAGTAATTTCAAGATCTTTCCTTCAGGCCAGGTGTGGTGATTCACACCTGTAATCCCAGCACTTTGTGAGAGCCTAAGGCAGGAAGATTACTTGAGGTCAGGAGTTTGAGAACAGCCTGGCCAACATGGTGAAACCCTGTCTCTACTAAAAATACAAAAATTTGGCCAGGTGCAGTGGCTCATGCCTGTAATCCCAGCATTTTGGGAGGTCAAGGTGGGCGGACCCTGAGGTCAGGAGTTTGAAACCAGCCAGGTCAACATGGTGAAACCATGTCTCTTACTAAAAATACAAAAATTAGCCAGGTGTGGCAGCGTGCACCTGTAATCTCAGCTACTTGGGAGGCTGAGGCAGGAGAATCGCTTAAACCCAGGAGGTGAAGGTTGCAGTGAGCCAAGATCACACCACTGCTCTCCAGCCTGGATGACAGAGTGAGACTTTGTCTCAAAAAAAAAAAAAAAAAAAAGATGTTTCCTTCAAAACGGACCCTCAGCCTTCCTCTAGCTGGTGACAATTTTGGGTGGGCACTCATCAGGAGGGGCCCACCAACATTTATGGATTAACATGTACATGCACACGCACACACACACATACACAAAGGCACACGGAGCCCAGGCCCAGGTTGTTACCTTGGCCAGCTCGTCCACTAGCCCCTGGTAGCCATTTCTGGCGCTGACCAACCCCAGGGCTTCAAGTTGGCGCAGGTTCCGCAGGACACGCCGCTGCTTCTCTGCCAGTGGCAGAAGGGAGTGAGCTGTCAGTGAGCGGTGTCGTCGCAGTGGCTCCGGTGTCTGGGCTGCACAGGCCTGGCGTCGGCTCATCAGCTGCTTGTGGGCTGCTTCCTGGGGACACAGGGATGCTGGAGGGGTCTACCAGGCCCTACCAGTCTGCTCTCACACCAGGGAAGACTCCATGGGCACCAGCAACAAAGGGAGGCCTGAGATTTTTCTGGGTATCATTAAGAAAGTGCCCCAGAGCCCAGCCTCTGCAGGGTATGGCTGGGGTAGGGCATAGCTTATGAAGAATATCAAGGTATAACATCGTAACACATGGTGTCACACATGGGAGGGCCTCATAGATCACCTCATAGATCACCACAGGGGAAGAGTGGCTCAAAGAACACCCAAACCCAGGTCACGGCATAAAGGATTCCGGACAGACACTAGCTGTGACTTCCCAACAATGGATCTTTCTGATGGCCCAGGATGTTTGGGGGCATTTCCCTGTCTGTTTCGTTTTGGGACATACCTCTACTGGCCATCCCCACCTTTTCTCTGGGAAGACCCTGGTTCAGTCTTCGCTCCATCAGGCCCAACATGCCCCTGGCCCCCGACCCGCCTACTACCTTCTCCTGCCTCCAGGCTTTCTAGCAGACCACTCTTCTGAGTACAGGCCTTCCAGGGGTGCCTTCCCAGACCGCCTCTCAGCGCCCCCCATAGCCCTAGTGTTGGTGCTTGTTTCAGTGTGTGCAGTGGGGAGAGGGGTGGGGCCCCATGACTCTGTAGCCTGAGGCTTCCCAAGGCTAAAGCTGTGTCCCTCACTCTGTAGGCCTCCAGAGTTTTCATTACTGGTGAGCACAGGTGTCTGCTTCTGGCTGACTGTGGGTGAGGTTCAGAGGAGGGAAGCAGCAGCGGTGCAGTTGGGGTGAGGCGGGGATGAATGAGATAGAACCTGTGGGCTGGCGCAGCTACCCACCTGCTCTCTGGAAGCCGAGAGGGACAGGATCTCCTTGAGGGTGTCCCCGGGATGGAACTGTATGATATCGGCCAACAGCTGCTTGGTGCTGCACAAGGAGGCAGTGACAGAGGAGAGGTAAGGGGCAGGGGAAGGGCCTGGACATGGGACTGGCCAGAGGTCTAAGAGTAAGTGGGCCATGCTCTATAGCATGGCTGCTAGGAGGTAAGGAGAGAGAGTGAGGGATAGGGGATGTCGTAGACTAGGATACCTTCCCCACAAACTATCTTCCTTTGAGTCCTTCAGCTGAGCACACATGTCCTTCCAGCCCAGCCATCCCTTCTCCTTAGCTCTCAATGCATCTGACACCCACTGCCCTCTTGGTGGTGCTGTGTTCAGCCCTAGCCCGACCCTGCTCTCAGCCCTTTGATGGGCAGGACAAAGACGATTCTCAGCTCACTTGTTTTTTTGTTTTTTGTTTTTTGAGATGGAGTTTCACTCCTGTCACCAGGTTGGAGTGCAATGGCATGATCTCAGCTCACTGCAACCTCCACCTCCGAGGTTCAAGTGATTCTCCTGCCTCAGTCTCCCAAGTGGCTGGGATTACAGGTGCTTGTCACCACGCCTGGTTAATTTTTTAATTTTTAGTAGAGACAGGGTTTCACCATGTTGGCCAGGCTGGTCTCGAACTCCTGACCTCAGGTGATCCACCTGCCTCGGCCTCCCAAAGTGCTGGGATTACAGATGTGAGCCACTGCGCCTGGTCAGCTCACTTGTTTATTGAGTGCATGAGTGGGTGGAAGGGGGGTTGCCTTGTTGGCAGGGAGTTTGAGCTGGCACTTTGGCTCCACTTCCACCCAGATGACCAGCCCACCCCTACTGGGGATCCTCCCTCACTTTTGTAGAACTGGGGAAGAAAAGCCCCATGCCCATCTCCTGACCATCACACTCAACAAGAATGTGGAATTAGGCTGGGCGTGGTAGCTCACACCTGTAATTCCAGCACTTTGGGAGCCCAAGGCAGGCAGATCACTTGAGGTCAGGAGTTCAAAACCAGGCCAGCCAACATGGTGAAACCCCATCTCTACTAAAAATACAAAAATTGGCCGGGGTTGGTGGCAAGCACCTGTAGTCCCAGCTACTTGGGAGGCTGAGGCAGGAGAATCGCTTGAACCCAGAAGGTGGAGGTTGCAGTGAGCTGAGTTTACGTCACTGCACTCCAGCCTGGGTGACAGAGTGAGACTCTGTATCCAAAAAAAAAAAAAAGCGGAATTAGAACATGAGCTCTACAACCCACTGGCTATGGAACTTTGGATAAATCACATAACTACTGAGTCTTTCCTCAACTATGAAGAGGAGAAGCCACCATCTACCTCATAGCTTGTCTCTAAGAATAAACGATAACATATAAAAAAGCATTTGGGCCAGGCGTTGTGGGTCAAGCCTGTAATCCTAGCACTTTGGGAGGCTGAGGCAGGTGGATGGCTTTGAGACCAGGAGTTTGAGGCCAGCTTGGGCAACATGGTGAAATTCTGTCTCTACTTGAAAAAAGAAAAAAGCCATTTGGTAAACAGCACAATATGCAAACATCTGCTGTTGCCAATATCTTCATCATTCCTTTACTTTCAGTACAACGCAGAGCAAAAAGCTGAGGATATCAGACAGAAAACAGCCAAGGCTGCAGCAAGGGGAATAAAGGTAGGCTTCAGGGAGAACTTCCTGAAGGATAAGGGAGCCCAGGAAGAAAGTGAAATGGGCGCCTCAAAGTAAGGCCATTTTACTGGCTTCAGGGCTGGGGAGCTTAGGTAGGCAGGGGCAGAGGCTGGTGTCACCCACCTCAGAAGCAGGCTACGGGTGTTGGAGTCATCAGTGTCTGCCTCCAGTCCTTCAAACTTGTTGGTCAGTGTCAGGGACACTTCTAGCTTGCTCAGGTCCGTGTGCCCATCTGCAGCAATGCTCTCCCCTGAGGTGTGGTGAGGAATGAGAGGGAGACAGGCATACACACGCACGCACGCATGCATGCACGCACCAATCGGGTCACGTTAAATCGGCTGCTCTACATGCCCCTCTTCCAAGAAGTTTTCCCACACTGCCCTGCAGAACCACCCTGTGTCCCCAACCCTTAGCACCGATGGAAGGGCTGTTACCCACAGAGCATACCCTCGTGTTACTGGGGCTGTGCCACCCCCACACCCTCAGCCCTGGGTGCCCTGAGGGTAGAGGAGCCACGCCTCCCCCAGCCTGCAGCTCCTGGCTCTCTCTAATCACCATCTTCATTCTATCCTTCCTCCCAGTAAGTTGGCTTCCTCCTATTCCATGGCCCAGAAACGCCTCCTTCTCAGAGAAACCTAATGAGACCCTTATCCCCGTGCCTCTTTCACATCATTTAATTGGCCATTTACCTGATGATCACGGGTCCCTCTACCGTCTGCCTACCTTCTCCACTTCAATCTGTGTCCCTGTGCCCATGTCAGGACTAGAGGGAGAGTATGGAACTAGCCGCCTGGCACAAGACCTAGACTGCATGGGCGCGCTCACATGGCCTGTCTGCCTGCCTGTCCCTCCCTCCCTGCAGGCCCCTTAGCTGGCCCCGGCTGCCAAGGAGGGCACACACCAATAAGGTCAGGGATGGTGGGCAGCTCCCCAAGGTCCTCCAAGAGCTCATGCAGGGGGTCTTGGTGATCAGAGGCAATGCAGTCCTGGTGCTCCAGCAACAGCTGCAGGACAGAGGAAGAAAAGGAAATGCAGGGTCTGAGCCAGGTCTTCTCCCTGGGGCCAGCCCACTACCCCATCACAGGCTACCAAACCCCTGCCCACCCAGTCAACACTCTCCAGATCTCAGCCCCTCACCCTGTGCGTGTTGACCAGCTCCCCCACGGTAATGTACACCACAGGTTTGGCCACAGCCACCATGTCTGAGTACTCGTCCACTGCAAAACGCTCCTCTGGCTCTGGCACCTGGCAGGCTCTATGGATGAACTTCCTATCCAAAGGGAGGGCATGTGAGAGAGCGGGGAGGGCCAGCACCCCACACATCTTCTGTCCCCGTCCTTTCCCCAGCCTTCTCCAGCGATTTCTCAGGCCAATTTGGACTCTCCAGTCTCAGCTTCTGCCCTCTGTCCTGCCCTACCTCCGTCCCAGTGATCCCTCAAGCCAATCTCTCTTAATAGTCTCCTTTTCTCTCCACTGAGGAGTCCTTCCAACAACCTATCCTCCACCCCACTCATTCCGCTCTTCCCTTCTATTTATGCCTCTTGTCCTCATGGATTCTGGAGGGGAGAAGCGGGATGTCACAGATGAGAAGAGGGAAGAAAGGGGACAGAGAGGAAAGGGACCCAAGACCTGAACTTGAGGTGTGTTTCCTCCAGATAGTCATTCAGGACCCGCAGGTGCTGGCTCTGCCCAGAGAAGGCCTTGCCAGCCGCAGCGTGCTGTAGGAGCTGAGCCACAGCCCCCAGGGCATGGCGCTGGGGGGCAGCCAGGGTGCCACCAGCTGCCATGGCCACAATGTCGAAGGCGTCAGGAGCCACCACAGCTGGGTTCAGGAAGCGGTAGTACAGGAGGTTCCCGACCACCTGAGGGCAGAGAAGACTCTCCTAGAAGTGTCCAGGGGCCACCTTGACTGGTGCAGCCCCACATTCCCAGCTGGCTTGGCTGGAAGGGATACCTGGGCCAACCCCCTCACTTCAAAGAAAACAGGCCCAGAGCAGGCAGGCAACTTTCTCAAGGCCACACAGCAAACCTGAGCAAGAGCTGGGACTTGAACCTAGATCTCCTGACAAGAAGCCAGTGTTGCCCACTCTGTTCGCTCATGCCCCAGCGTGAGCCAGGCTCCATTTACAAGGGGCAGCATATTTCCCTCCTTGGATTTTTATGGCATAGGATTTTTTGTGTTTTTGTTTCGGTCTGAGGATCGCAGGTACCAGCAAAGCAAAGGAGGGATTGGAAGGTGGGGGTGGGAAGATAACACTTGCCTTATAGACCTCGCTGTCTGTGGCGTCAGGGAATTTCTCTGCCAGAGTTGCCTTCAGGACTTTGGCCACATATCGCATCCCGTACCTGGGGACAAAGAAACAGGTGCACTGTGCCTGTGCCTCTGCCCATCTCTCTCTGCCAGATATAAGAGCTTGAGTGCATGGCTGTCTCTCCTCCCCCAGGCTCAGCCACTCCAGAGTGGAGCTCAAGCACTGTCCCTCCACTATACATAGCCACCTCCCTGCTGCCTTCCTCTGAACATCTCTGGGCCTTGTCCATCCCTCCTGCCTTGTGTCAGTAGTCAGGACCAGGGGCCTATTATCTACTAAATGTCTCACACAGCCTCCAACCTGGCTTGAGAACCTCTTCTTTGAGACTCTCTGGTCTCCCCTACAGAGCACTCCAGATCACCACAGTCATCCCCCATCCCCCAGAGGCACTGTTAACCTAAAGCTTGGGTATTTGACACTCACAGCCAAAACCCTGTCCTAGGACAGCCTAGGTGGCTCCGAGGTAGTCAACCTTGTCAGCTGTCACAGAGCACCTGTGAGTGGCCTAGTCTGGGCTAGAGGCAGGGTCCCAAGGAGATCAAGTAGCCAGGAGGAGAAGCTCCAGTTTGGACTCCACCACCAACCAGAGATATTATCTTAGGCTATTTCCTTCCCCTTTGTAAGTCTGTCCCCTGGTCTAGAAAATGGGAATGATCATTCTTGCCCTCTCTTCTCACAGGGTTTTTTGAGGATCAAGTGAAATTATGTCTGCGAGAGTAATGCATAATGGTAGAGTACTATTCAAATGTGCTAGACTTCATTATCATTATTATTCTTATTATGGATGTGCCACCTACAAATGTAATTAAATTCGTTTAAAAGCAATTTCCCCTCCTAGGGTACCAGAGACAGAAGTTTACAGCTCATTGTGTACTTTCCTTTCTTAAGCCTAGAACAATCTTTTCTTACTCCTAATTGTAAACTCTTAATCCAGTTCTCCAGGTTTGGGGAGCAGGGTTATGAACTCTATGGGTTCCCCTTTCAGCATCCTCATCTTGCCCTGGGCACTCCAGCCTGGGCAACGGAGTGAGACCCTGTCTCAAAAATAATAAAAAATAAAGAAAAACAAACAAAAGAATGAAATCCTGCCATTTTCGACAACATAGATCAACCTAGAGGTTCGTGTTAAGTGACATAAGCCAAACACAGAAGGACGAATACTGCATGATCTCACTCATATGTGGAATCTAAAAAAGGTGATTTCACAGGAGTAGAGAGTAGAATGGTGGTTACCAGAGCCTGGGGAGGGCAGGAGACGGGGAGAGAAGATGGGGAGAGGTTGGTCAATGGGTACAAAGTTATAGTCAGGTGGAAAGAATAAATTCTGGTGCTCTGTTGCACAGGAGGTGACTATAGTTGATAATAATGTATTGTGTATCTCAAAATAGCTAGAAGAGAGGATTTTGAATGTTCTCACCACAAATAAATGTTTGAGGTAATAGATATGCTAATTACCTTGATTTCATCATTCATTGCACAATGTATATATGTATCAAAACATCACACTGTACCCTATGAACATGTACAATTATTATGTGTCAAAAAATAAATGTAGAAAACCAAATGTATTGACTAAATTTAAAGAAAAGAGAACTATAAAGTACTTTATGGGCTTAAAATATTTATTTTTGATATTAGGAACTGAAGAATCCCATTTTCTCCTCATTTGCTCTTAGATAATAAAGTGTCCCTGAGATCATTTTAGGGTCCCTGCTCTGGTTCCACTGACATCTTACCAGGCCACATGCAGACCTACATGCCATCTTTCAGCTCAGCTGTCTAGCAGGAGCTTGGAGCATTCCCCACATCTCTCCAGGAACCCCTCTGAGTACCCCTGACTCTATCTCCCTCCCTGCCTTCCTCCCTGCAGGACTATCACCCTGCTCTGCTCCCCATGGTGGCCTGGCCCTCTCAAAATCCCATGTGTAGGCTGGGGTGGGGCTGTTGCACATACGGAATTTGGTCCACAGATGAAGTAATGGCTACAAGGAACTTATCAGTCATGGCGAGGAGGTTGCGTAGGGCGATATCCAGTTGTCTCTGGACCTCGGGGTGGCTCAAGGCCTGCTCCGGGGTGACATCATATGGGAGATGGCTATGAGCAGAGAGAGACAAGGTATAAACAGGAGCACCCTCCAATGGCCTCCTTCCCCAAGGCCCTATTCCTTAAACTCTTGTCTAACAACAAGATCTTATACAGATGTGCTAAGGACAGCTCAGCATGCTAAAGGAGAAAGGGCCAGAATGAGAGTAAGGACTGGAGAAATGCAATCGGGAGGTGAAGAAGAGTTGGAGTATCTACAGGGAAGCTGGAAGAATGTAGGAAGGAACAGAGAACCTGGAATCTATGGACACTTCTAAGGGGAACAGATGACAAGCAGGCGGCTGCGCTGCAAATAGTCTTTGGGAGTTTGGAATAATGGAGAGGCTGGGCCAGAGCCTTATAGTTTCCTCACTTAAAGCCTCCTGTGCCATCCAGAACAGCCACCAGGATTGCCTGCTCGCCTCCGTGGCTGTTTCCCTAGCACCTAGAGACCTGAGCAATGACCCCAGGCGATAAGGGCAACCTATTTCTCCCACTATCTCGTTTGCCTATTCATCTATAAATAGAAATATTCATCTATACCCCTATAAATAGGAGTCCATGTCCTAACTCCCAGCAATTTTTTTTTTGGTAGGGGGGACAGAGTCTCACTCTATTGCCCAGAGCTGGAGTGCAGTGGCACGATCTTAGCTCACCGCAACCTCTGCCTCCCAGGTTCAAGTGATTCTCTTGCCTCAGCCTCCCAAGTAGCTGGGACTACAGGAGAACGCCACAACACAAGGCTAATTTTTGTATTTTTAGTAGAGATGGGGTTTCACCATGTTGGCCAGGCTGGTCTCAAACTCCTGACCTCAGGTGATCCGCCCACCTTGAGCCCCCAAAGTGCTGGGATTACAGGCGTGAGCCACTGGGCCCGGCCCTACTGCCAGCAAATTTGACACATCATTTGCAAGCACTGACATAGCAATTAAGCACATTTGCATATTCATCTGTACTCATTTTAGTTAAGCCCACCAGGTCTGGAGTCATTTACATTAGTTTCATGTTAATTATCAGAGGGGGTCTAAAAGACTACCTTATTCATGCCTAAAAAGCTGGTATCATATTTGCATAAATCAGCACGCCCATTTATATGCCACCTTCAAAGTACACCCAAGCTTCCCCAGTAGGGTCGAGATACAGCTGATCAAAAAGAGCTCTCCCTCTGCCCATGTGCTCACCTGCGCTGCCCTGTCTGGGCCTCGGTCCGGTTGATCCAGTTCTTATAGATGTGGACAGGGTCTGTGTGGACACTGAGCACTTTGTCCTCTAGCACATCCTGGATAACCTTGCCCAGAATCTCCTGCAGGGCACTCTGTCCCCGCCCATTGCGGTAGAATCTCACCACCAGCCTCACCACTGTTGGGTTGCCTGTCACCACGTCCTGGGGCTGCTCCACCTTTGACCTGTGGTTTAAGAGGTCATTGAAGCTAGTCTTCTGCCTCTGTGTAGGACAAACCGTTACTTTTCCTTTTTGAGATTTTGGCTCTCAAAGCCTGCCCTGGTGTCCCTGCCCTTAAGGAATGTCTTGATATCTCTCTCAACCTTTGTGTCAGCATGTCAGCCCATATCCTCCCACTGTGCTGTCCCAGATGTTTTACAGTTTCTCTACAGGAGGCAGAGAAGAGAGGTCTTCTGATTCCATTTCTACCCTTAAGCCTCAACAAGCTGTCACCTTGTGAAGAAGCCAACAGGGGCATCTCTTAACCCATTCTCTCCCCATTCTTTTGTGTCTGGAGAGCCTACTTGATTTCCTCCTGGAGTGCTGTCTTGAACAGCTGGAGCAGGAGATAGGCCTCTCGGCGGCTGGAGGCATAGTTGTACAGGCTGAAAATCACTGCCTCCATGAACTTGGTGGTTTTGTTCTGTGGCATCTGAAAGATCAGCTTGGCCAGGTAGATGGGCTGAGTCTGCAAGCAAGAGGGGAGACAGGAATGGCTGACCATGTACTTCGAGGACCAGTGATAGGATAAAGAAAGGTTTTCCCTCGATGGAAATCTGGAATGGAGAAAGCACTACCACACTTTCTCCAGGTGCTAGTGACATTCCAGACAAACAGGGGAAGAGGTAGTCTCTTTTCCTGGGGATAAGGAATTAAGATTATGGGAAAGGACACCTTGCATGGTGTCAAAGGCACAGACAAGAAGGCCTTGAAGTCTCAGACCCTCAGGAGATGGGAGAGACTTCTCCTTGGAAAGTCTCTGCTAACCTGGAGCAGGTAGAAGAGGTGTTGGTATGCTTCTAGTTTCTGCCGTTTCTCTTTGCTCAGTGACTTTAATCCCTTCTGCTTGTCCAGAACCATCATATCCGACAGCTGTTCCTTATTCCTCTTGGTCAGCTTCTTGCAGTGGGAGACCACTTCCTGCAGGGGTGGAGGAATGGGTGATACAACCAGCCTAGGCCATCCCAGGGCACAGAACGTATGGTCCAGAATCAGTGCCTTGAAGAGCCAGGGCTTTCTGCTGTTCAAGGAACAGGCATAAGCTGGGGGAGAGAAGCAGTTCTAGGGTGAGGAAGGGCCCCTCCTAGTGCCCTGAGACTCCATCTGGTTCCTCTTCTGTCATGGGAGTGAGTCTCCAAAGAGAATTGGGTTGCCAGGCTGAGGAATTGTGTCTATTTGACTTTTGCTATCACTTCTTATTAGACTGCTACACACATTTGAGGTGGAGCTATCACTATGTCACTATTACCCTGTCACTGCATATTTGTATGGTAATTTATGATTTAAAGAGCTTTCTTATCTATCTCTATATTTGGCCTGGAGAGGCGGACATTCTCATTATTCCCAGTTTGCTAATGAGAAAACAGACTTAGAAGTGAAATGAGCACCCACAGCCCCATCCCTAGGAATCAGCAGAGCCGGGCATTCTGATTTTAGGTCTCATGCTCTTTCTACTCTGTCATGGGTCCCCCGAAATGATTTATTAGAATGGCAGAGGGCCACTGGAACAAGGAACTGAGTCAGGTGATAAAATCCACACCATTTTGAATAAATTGATTAGCAAACAGAGAATGGTCAGCATCACATCTCCAGAGGTAGACAGATCTGGGGAAGGGGAGGACTGGTGGGCCCCACACCTGCAGAGTGATCCGGTTCTTCACCAGCAGGCCAATCTTGATGTCCATGATGTTGAGGTCCTGCTCCAGCTGCTGATTGGATCGGATCTTCCTAACTACCTCTTCCTGGAGCTTCAGCAGCTCTGCCTCAGCCAAGAAGTCCTGCTGGCTTTGATTCAAGAGATGGGCAAATCTGCGGACCACACTGAGAGGAGGGTGGGGTGCATGCACTGGGAGGAAGGGAGGAGGCATCAGGATTAGGCATGTCTCATCAGAGGCCTCCTTGCCAGTCCCTGCCCCAGAGTTAGCCCACCCCAGTCCCCGTTCTGCTTGGAATCAGCAGGTCCCCAACCCCAGTCGTCTTCTAACTGGTTCTGCTTGCACTTGGAGGGCAGTGGGTAGCCTCTTAGCCAGGCCTGTCCCTGAGCCCCCTGTCTTATAACTGGAGATGACATAATAGCTGCTCTTCCCCTACTTCTGATTCACCCCAGCCTGGGCCTATCCCAGGGACCTCTGACACCAAAGCCGGAGCCACAGCTCCCTCTGATTATCCTCCCAGACCTCCCTTGTCTACCGCAATTTACCACTCACTTCTGCTGGGCCAACCTGCTCCTCCTCCTACCTGCCAGCCACCACTCAGCCCTGCTTGCCCTCACAGTGCTCCTCTGTCAGGAGTGTCTGTACACACCAGGAAGGACAGGTAGATGGGATGGACAGTGGGCTTTATAATATAGGGGAGGTCAGAGCTAGCTGGTGATTCTCCTTGAATCACCTTTGGAATTAGTATTTGAGCAAAAAAGAAAGAAGCCTCTGAGCTAATTTATTGGAAATAACAACAAAACAACTAATACATAGAATGTTTACTATGAGACAGAAGCTGTTCTAAGTGCTTTACACACTTAAGACCACCTGTGAGGTCAGTACACTATAACTATCCTCTCTTACCAATGATACCTCTGAGACTCAGAGAAGGTAAGCAACTTGCCCTACGTTACACAGTTAATAATAAATGAAGGAGTCAGATTTGGAAGACGAATAAAACTACTCCCTGTCCCTAAAGGCAGTCTAGTAGGGAAACTAGACAAATAAACCACAATTCACTGCAGTGTGGTTAGCGCTTTGAGAAGAGCAAACATGGGGATCTTTGGGAAAACAAAAGTGGGTTGCCCAACCCCACTGGGGAGTGAAGAAACACTGCAAGGAGGAGGTGAGACATCCCTGATGTCGGTGAAAAGGAGGTGGAGAGGGTGAATGTGGGGAGTGCCGAAAGTCCACTGTATCTGGAACACAGTGCAGAAGGTGTAGGTGGTGAGGGGCAGGTCAGTAAGGTTAGAGGTGCAGAGAAAGGCTGGATCACAGAGTCCCAAAGCTGTGGTTAGAAGATTGGACCTTACCCTCAAGGCAACAGGGCATCATGACAACTCTTAAGGAGGTGAGTGACATGATCACATGTACAGGTTTAATGGATTAATCTGGCTACAATAGGGGAACAAATTTTTTTTTTTTTTTTTTTGACAGAGTCTTTCTCTGTTGCCCAGGTTGGAATTCAGTGGCATGATCTCAGTTCCTTGCAACCTCTGCTTCCCGGGCTCAAGAGATTCTCCTGCCTTCGCCTCCCAAGTAGCTGGGATTACAGGCGTCTGTCACCACATCTGGCTAATTTTTGTATTTTTAGTAGGGACAGGGTTTCACCATGTTGGCCACACTGGTCTTAAACTCCTGACCTCAGGTGATCCTCCTGCCTCAGCCTCCCAAAGTGCTGGGATTACAGGTGTGAGCCACCACCATGCCTGGCCTGGGGACAAATCTTTGAGGAGTGAAGAAAGGTAGAATCCAAGACAATTCATGGCATCTTGGATTCGATGAAATACAGCATATTAACTCCTCAAAACAACCCTACAAGACAAATATTAGAATTATGTCCAGTTTATAAAGGAGAAAAGTGGGCAAGAAGGAAGTTAATTGGCCAGGTGTGGTGGCTCACGACTGTAATCCCAGAACTTTGGGCAGCCAAGGCGAGTGGATCACTTGAGCCCAGGAATTTGAGACCAGTCTGGGCAAAATGGGGAGACCCCCATCTCTACAAAAAATCAAAAGTTAGCCAGTTGTGGTAGTGTATGCCTCCAGTCCCAGCTACTCAGGAGGCTGAGGTGGGAGGATAGTTTGAGCCTGGAAGGTTGAGGCTGCAGTGAGCCGTGATTGTGTCACTGCACTCCAGCCAGGGTGACAGAGTGAGACTCTGTCCCAAATAAATAAATAATCAATTTAAAAAAAAAAGAAGTTAAGTAACTTGCTGAGGGCCACGCAGCTAGTAAATGGTAGAGCTCTGAATAAAGTTTGGGGGCCAGTGAAGTCAGGAGACAGCACTAGGGAAAAACAAATTCTTCCAGAAAAACCATAAACTGAAGAGAAGAAAAAGAAGACAAAAAATGGCCAGGACAATGGTATTAGTGTAGCCACAGAGACAAAATAGAATGGGCTAGGTTGGGGAGAGGGAAGGAGAGAAAGAAGCTTGTTGACAGGAAGCAGACGGCCTGAGTGTGCATGACCAGAGAAGGGACAGGCAAAGTCCCTGTGGGCAGTTCAGGGGCGAAGAAGGACTGAGGAGGTGAAGGAGAGGATTCCTGAACAGGACATTTCACCAGAAGCCCAAGAGTGCAGCCTCAAGGCCAGGAAGGAAAGGGGTCTACTGCTTCAGGAACTCAGGGGCTAGAGGTGAATGTGGAAATGGACTACTTGTCAATTTCACAAAAAGGAAGGGGATGCCATTTGCTGGGCTTCTGAACTTGTAGAACAAGGGCCAGGAAGGACCTCTTTAAAGCTTTAAATGAGCACTCAACTAATGGGGAATATGGAGCAGGAAGATGAAGCACCCTTGGGTGCTTCTCACATTCCCCACACTACAGAATGGACTCTGTGTGCCTCACCAGGCCTTGTTTGTGCTAGGCCACAGAGGTCTGGAGGGGAGAAGTTGGAACCCGAAGGAAAGAAGCAAGATCCTTTTCTTTTTGCTTTGGTAGTAGCAATAGGTAGATAATCTAAGCCTGGTACAAAAAGAGCCTGGTTAGAACTTTCACTGTGACAAGGCTATCTGTGATTGGGATGAGCAGGTGGGCTTTTGTTACAACTTCTGCTCCACGTTCCTGCACAGACGACTTATGACTACCTTCCCCTTACCTGCTGTGCAGTCCCAGAAGGATGTCTAGACCTGCCTGGCTCTGTGGGGTGCTCTCCCTCCCATCAGCTGGGGAGGGTGGATCAGGGAGCTCACCTAATATCCTGTAGTCATCCTGGGCTTTCCTGGCTCGGAAAAATGCCTGGATCTTTACAATGGACTTAACCTGCCACGAACACAGATGGGAAAAGGGTTGCTGGCTGTCCTTGCTCTAGTCTCATGGGTAAAGGTTGGGTATGTGGGCAGGGGGAGCAAGGTGACACTCACGTTCTTCTGGAAGTAGTGCAGACGCCTCAGGTATTGCCTCCGAGTTGCCCACATCCGGGCCCAGGCCTGGATCTGGGAGAAGAAACACACTGCCTCAGCTCCAGCTTGAGGCCCACCCTCAGTCCCAGGCCAATTCAGCCAAATCCAGAGATCACAAGGAGGTGACAATACTGCAAGATTGTTCTCAGAGGGTCTTTCGAGAGAAAGAAGCCTGCCAAAACCACTGTAGCTACCTTGATTATGGCATCCAGGTTTGCCTTAAAATACTGCAACCGCTCCAGGTAAATCTTCCGCTGCCTATAACCCCGCCAATGAGCCTGCAAATCAGGAGAGAAAGGGCAGTAACTCAAGTAGGTCTCCTTTGGTCAGGGAGGCTTTTAAGAAAATCCTTGTCCTGGGCTCTCCAGGGAACGGAAGTGGGCAGTTAAATAGAGGGGGAAGGGGAAAGTGGCCCTGTTCTCAAAGAACTTCCAACTTCATGGGGAAGACCAAATGGCTGCACATAGCCAACAATGCCCTCTGCCATACTCCCTCGTCCCAGAACAAACACCCACATACCCACACCCACACACCTCTAACCAATACCTCTTCACAGAAACTCAACTATAAGATACAGTCCTAAAAGATAATAAAGCATACACCTACTCACCAACTTCACCAAAGTATGTACCATATCAGCCTAAAATACACTCATACACCCATATGCAGACCACCCACACCCTATCACACACTCCACCCTCCCTCATGTGCACAGAAAGTGGGCAGAGAGCAGTCTGGAAATGAATGTGGTTGTGTGGATGTGAAGTGTGTACAGGCACAAAGCTGTGTGCTCACCATCTCTGCCAGGGGCCACCTGGGCAGCAGGTCACTAATGCTCTCATAACTCACATTCTCTTTACAACACAATCCAGCTCCTGACCCTAGCTTTCAGCAAATCGTCCCACCAAGGTCCCCAGTAATTCAGCTGTCAGGCCAATGGCCTCTCCCCTAGCTGATCTGCTGCAAAGGGTCCAACTGACATCTGCACAAATCATGCCTCCTTTGGTCTCTAAAATCTCAAGGCCCTCTTCCATTCCAGTCTCCTTCCTAGGAGCCTTTTCCCTTTCACTCCAAGCTTGTGTGGGATTAATTTTCCTAAAGTACCTCTTAGACTGTCCCAGCCTATTTCCAGAAGTTTTCAACCATCTGACCCCACACTGCCTATTTGACTTTCCACTGGTCCCCGCCTTCTTAAGGATCCTAGATGCATCAGACTTTTCACTTTCTTCTAAACATGCCTTATGGTTTTCCGTCCCCAAACCTTTTATACCCACCCTTGTTCCCAGCCCTATCTCTACCCACTGAAATCCTTCCCATCTCTTTTTTTTTTTCCTTTGAGACAGGGTCTCAAAGGCTGGAGTGCAGTGGTGCCGTCATGGCTCACTACAGCCTCCACCTCCTAGGCTCAAGTGATCCTCCCGCCTCAGCCTCCTAAGTAGCTGGAATCACAGGCATGTGTCACCATGCCTGATTAATTTTTTAAGTTTTGTAGAGATGGGGTCTTACTATATTGCTTAGGTCAGTCTTGAACTCCTCGACTCAAGTGATCCTCCCACCTCGGCCTCCCAAAGTGCTGAGGTTACAGGCATGAACCACCATGCTTGGCCCTTCCTGTCTTTTAGTCCCCATGTTCACTGCAACCTTCACCTCCCAGGTTCAAGTGATTCTCCTGCCTCAGCCTCCCAAATAGCTGGGATTACAGGTGCCTGCCACCATGATCAGCTAGTTATTTTTTTAATTTTTAGTAGAGACGGGGTTTCACTATGTTGGCCAGGCTGGTCTTGAACACCTGACCTCGTGATCCACCCGCCTCAGCCTCCCAAAGTGCTGGGATTAACAGGCGTGAGCCACCGTGCCCGGCAAGGGAGCAACCCCTTTCATTCAGTTGCCCCCAGCCCTTCCTAAAGCCAGTTCTTTTTTTTTTTTTTTTTTTTGAGACGGAGTCTCGCTCTGTCGCCCAGGCTGGAGTGCAGTGGTGCGATCTCAGCTCACTGCAAGCTCCGCCTCCCGGGTTCACGCCATTCTCCTGCCTCAGCCTCCCGAGTAGCTGGGACTACAGGCGCCCGCCAACTCGCCCGGCTAGTTTTTTGTATTTTTTAGTAGAGACGGGGTTTCACTGTGTTAGCCAGGATGGTCTCGATCTCCTGACCTCGTGATCCGCCCGTCTCGGCCTCCCAAAGTGCTGGGATTACAGGCGTGAGCCACCGCGCCCGGCCCCTAAAGCCAGTTCTGCCAGCTTTCCCTCGAGGCTTACATGGCCCCTCTGTTGGGAAAGGATGTAAAAGAGGATAGCTTGGTCCATGATGCCAGCTGTCCATGTTGGAGCCTAGAGGTCAGGAAGCCCCATTTCCATGCCTGCCCCCAGGACTCTTTCTTTTCCTCCTCCAGGTACTGCCTGGAAAGTTGCTGTGGGTGGTCTGAAGTTGCTGTGGGTGTGAAAGAGAGTGGTCTGCTCTCTGCTCTTTCCCACTATACAACCTCCACCAGGCTCCTTAAGGCCTCTGAATTGGTCAGAATTCAGGACCCTGGCTGGGGTTCTGGCCAGGGTGGGTCAGAGCTTTTAGGAGATAAAGTCTCAGCACACCCAGGCAGCCTCATTTTGGATTTTCCTTTCCCCTGGCAAGAGGCTCAAGGCTCTGGGCTACCTCTCTCTTTCTCTGTCTCCCAGAACCCAGGCCACAGCCCACACAGCTCTGGTACTAGTGACAAATGTTCCCTCTGACTCCATCTTCTTTCTCACTGTCGGTGTGGTTTTTCATCGCCTTAGTGTGAAATTCCGGACTGGGCTTAGGATGGAGAAATCCCTATGATTCAGACCACTAAATACAGCTCACTAAAGTTCTGTATTGAGTTCTGGGACCAATGCCCTGAAAACAAAATCTCATAATGGCTCCCATCAATGGAGCACTTACCACACTAAGTGCTACATGTAATTTTCCTATTGAATCTTCCCAATCAACATATGAGGTGAGCACCATCATTATGAATGAGAAGACTGAGTGCTAGAGAGGGCATAAGTAAGGTGCCCAATGTCATATGACCCAGAAGTGGTAGGACCAGGAGGCAAACTCCACCTTCTGACCCCAAAGCCTAAGCTCTCAATTACCCCTCAACACTGTCAGTCATAATCAAGGGCCATTTGCCAGTCCCGGTCTGCACATCTGTCTCCCTTGGAGTCCTCTGGTGTTGTCTTTGTGTCCCTCCTATCACAATGTCTAACATCAAGTGTACTCCAATTTCTGTGAGGGGAGAGATGTGATTACTCACCCTTAGGCCTCGCACCCATCTCCCACCCTTGCCTAGTGCCAAGTGGCATGCTCTTGGCATTCAAAAAGTTTATGAAAGCATCTTTACATTGCCAGCACCCCGATGAGGCCCTCCAGATCACATCTGCCTGGGAAGGTATCTGCTCAACTGCCATGATTCCTGGCTTGCACAGTGCCTCTGGCTATCTTCTCTACCAGCCTCATGTCTCAGTTACTTACAGGTCAGTCTCAGAGGCCACACTGGACCATCCACGGGTTGGAAGAATAAAAATGGGAAGGGCTGGTTGGAGAGGAAAGGTAGAAGACTCTTCTTTTCCTAAAGGATATTTCACCCCTTTTCTGTTTAACCACCACTTCTTCGAGCCCTCCTGGTGTCTAAGCCTTGATGTCTTACTAAACACACACACACACACTCTTTTAGAGACAGGGTCTCACTCTGCTCTCTCTGTTGCCCAAGCTGGAATGCAGTGGTGCCATTATAGCTCATTTCAGCCTCAAACTCCTGGCCTCATGCAATCCTCCCACGTCAGCTTTCTGACTGGCTGGAATCATAGGTGTTAGCCACTGCACCCAGCTAAATCTTATTTCACTCTTCCCTTGGGGAAGCTAAAAAGCAGCTCTTACTCTCTGGATAGTGATGATGATGACATAAATAGCATGGTAACTTCTACCATGTTCTTACCTACCTCCCAGGCACAATTTATAAACAATTGAGATATTACCCAACTTAATCCTCATAACAACTCTATAAGGTAGGTGCTTTCATTAGCCCTATTTTTTCAGATGAAAAGACTGAGGGACCAGTGAGGAAACTGAGGGAGAGAGGGTAAGTAACTTGCCAGGGTCACACAGCTAAGAGGTGACAGAGCTGGGATTCAAACGTACATTGTCTGGGTCCAGAACCTATGCTTTTAACCACTACTATTTAGAGGCCGAAAGATCATTCCCATGTCAGTAAAAAGGAAGCAGGGTGGATACCCTGGAGCCCAGATATGCGCAGGCCCTGAAGACTGAGAAAGCCAGAGCCTGCCACCTGGATCTGGATGACTGCTGGGAGCCAGGTCCTCAGAAAGTGGGAATGCTCAGCAAACTTCTGTCGAACTAGGAAGCCACGGAGGCGGGCCTGGAGCTGGACGACAAAGCCCGTGTTGGCTTTCCAGAGCTGTTGGCGGTCATAGGCAGCAGTGACCTTGGTGACAGCTGACTGTGGAGGCAGGAGAGAGATGCTGTGGTCTTTTAGGGAGTGGGAGCCTCTTCTTCAGGGCATTCCCATCCAAAATCCCCCACCCTGGCAGGGGCTCTGCCAACCTGGATCTCCTCCCGGGTCAGGTGAGAGGTGTGGAGGCGGCAGCCAGAGGGTTGCTCCCAGGTCCCCTGGAAGGTCTGCAGATGGAAGTAGTAGGCAGTGCCATCGTTCATGTCATGTTGAACCCAGAAAGCTGAGTCTGCTAAGCAGAAACCAAGCAAGCAGAAAAGGTTCAGAGTAGGCAAGGGGTGGCTGGGGCAGGCAGAGAAGAGGAGGGTCAGGTTGGGGCCATTACCTGGACGCCGTTTCTTTGCCATGGCACCTTCCAGGGCTCGCTGGTAGCCGTTGGCACAGTTGGGAACTACCCCTCGAAGGGCCACTGCGGGGTTCCTCAACACCCGCTCAGTCTGGGCTGCCTTGCCCTCCTTGATGGCTTGATTGATGGCGGCCACACCAAGAGCCACTGACAGGGGCATCAGGAGACAGCACTCAATACTTCGCCTAAGTCCCTCCCATGGGCCTTAGCCTGTCCACTAGGGACAGATTCCATGAAAGAGGACACAAAATCACCCTTCTGAAGGAGTAGACAGGAACATCCCAGGATGGACAGAGACACATACATGAAAAGCAGCATCATGCAACTGTGCTTGGAGGGAAAGGCAGCAGCAGTCAAGGAAGCACTCCAAGGGAGGCAGTGTGGGGCTAGGCTGAGTTGGGGCTTGATAAAAGGAAAATCAGCTTGAACAGAAGCATAAAGGCCCAGAGCAGTGGTTCATGCCTGTAATCCCAACACTTTGGGACGCTGAGGCAGGCAGATCACTTGAGCCCAGGAGTTTGAGACTAGCCTGGCCAACATGGCAAACCCCCATCTCTATAAAAAAAATACAAAAATTGGCCAGGCGCTGTGGCTCACGCCTGTAATCCCAGCACTTTGGGAGGCCAAGGCGGGCAGATCACCTGAAGTCAGGAGTTTGAGACCAGCCTGGCCAATATGGTGAAACCCCGTCTCTACTAATAATACAAAAATTAGCCAGCTGTGGTGGTGGGTGCCTATAATCCCAACTACTCAGGAGGCTGAGGCCCAAGAATCGCCTGAACCTGGGAGGTGGAGGTTGCAGTGAGCCAAGATTGCACCACTGCACTCCAGTCTTGGTGACAGAGCGAGACTCTGTCTCAAAAAAAAAAAAAAAGAAAAAATATTAGCCAGGTATGGTAGTGCATGCCTGTACTTCCAGCTACTCAGGAGTCTGAGGTAGGAGGATTGCTTCAGAGGTTGCAGTGAATGGAGATCACAGTACACTGCCCTCTAGCCTGGGTGACAGAGTGAGACCCTGTCTCAAAAGAGAAGCATAAAGGCAGGATATGGGCAGAGGACTCTGGGACAGTTTCTTAGGAGAAGAGAGCCTAAGAGGTGGGAATGGCTGATGTAGCATCTGCCTTCCAGTCACTAGTAGACAGACAGATGGACAGAGAGACCACAGCCACTGAGAACTAACACCACCAGCACCACACATCAGCACACCCCTGTCTACTTGCACTGAGTCTGCCTATTTTCCTCAAACTCCTGCCAATTCCTCTTCTCTCACTCCAAGTCTAAACATTTTCTAGCCAGAGCTGATTGACTATTGGAACCCAAACTCAAGTTACCAGCAGAAATGGGATTTCTGACTACTGTGTGATCTCACACGCCCACATTACAGGGAAAGTGTCCACAGGAAGGCATAGAGGGAGGCAGCGGGTGAACCATGGATTCTCACCTCCTGAGAATTTCCTGCCCTGCTGACTGCCAGGAAATCCATCCTGCAGTCCGAACAGCAGCCCTCCTGCTCTGACTCTGGCCTGCCTCACCACAGAGGTTGAAGGAAGACGGAGGTGACCAGGGAGGCCGCCTGACCATCTGGGCTGCTGCTGAGCCCACATCCCTCCCCTCCCAGGGTCCCCTGCTCAGTCCATTTACTTCTCTGAGCTGTATTAGTGTCCTGGTTGGCTCTGACCACTCCCTGGCGGATCTCCTCAAGCCACAGCACAGCTCCAGGATCCCCTGTCACCTGGTAGATTGAGGGAGGAAAAAAAAAGATGAGACCCCAAGCTAATCTCTCTAGGTTCCCAGGCCAAGATGCCTAAGGGAACCAAACTGCAGGCAGGCATTGGGAGCCACAGGGACAGTGATCTCTACTCAGCTCCCTGTCCTGTGTGTGGGCACGTGTGGCATGTGGTTCCCTGGGATGTGGCCAGGCTCAGAAGGCTCTCTTTTCCTGCTGGGCTTTTAACTCTACTCAGTTTGGCCACAGCACCTCCAGAACCACAGAGGCTCTGCATAGCTCCTCAAACCCTCAGCATCCACCACCTTCTCAACAGCTCAATTCCGCGCTCTTGTGCCTCAGTCATGTCCAGGGATAGCCCACACTGGAGGCTCCACCTACCTGCCCCCACGCCCCACTCCCCTAGGCCTCATTGCAACTTCTCAGGCTGATCCTGACCATGACTTTTACCTTCTCTTTCCTTTTCTTGCTCCACACTCCTCTACCCGACAAGGTAGTGGGAAGATTACATGAGGCCACAGGTTAAGCAATCCCATGCCTGCCACACTGTCAGACTGATAAAGGCTTGAACCCTTCCTTGCCTCACACAACCCCAGATTCTACTCCTTCCCAACTCTCCTCATTAATAATAGACTTTGTAAACTAACATTTTATTGAGTACTGACTATGTGCCAGGCAGTATTCTAAAGCACTTTCTTATGCATTAATACTTGTAAAGCACATAAAATGATGCTTGGCACAGAGTGAGGACTCAATAAATGTTAGCCAGTAATACTGTCATATTATCTCACTTACACCCCATAACTATGAGATACGCTCATTACTGCCACAAGCTTGTAGGTAATGAAACAGAGGCACAGAGAGGTTAAGTAACACGTGCAGGGTCAGGCTGCCAGGACGTAGGCTCCAGTAGTCTGGCCCAGGAGCCTGGGCTCTCAACCACTCTCTACTGCAATATACTCAGGGCGTTTCAGGTTCAAAATGCTGCCCCATTTGTCAATTCATTTAATTTTCACCCTCATTCTGGGAGCTGGGTAGGACCAGGTAGTCAGTACTTTACAGATGAGTAAATAGAGCTCAGAGATATCAAGGGATTTGCTCAAGGTCACATGGTCACTGAGGGTCAGAGTGGGAAATCCAGCCTGGTTCTCTGGCTCCCAGGTCTGTGCTCTTCCCATGGACTGTCCACTGCCCTGGCAATGGGGGCCATCCTTCTTTACCAGATTGGAACACCCCCCGACCCCCACCCAGAAGCCATTGTGTCCATCAGAATAGAGCTCTGCCAGACTGGGTACAGTGCAACCCACAGAGAATGTTCTTCCTGCTCTGATGACCAGCCCTAACTTCACCTGGGCCTTCTGCCTTTTGGCTGCCACAAGGAGGAGATGGTACCGAGGGGCGACAGGGAGGCTGATATCATCGAGGCCAGCTGCAGGAAGCAGTAGGGCAGACAGAGTCTTCTCAGGGCTGCCTTTGTCCAGAGCCTCATTGATGAGGCTGATTGCAAGGACCCCTAAGAAACAGAGATCTAGGTGTGTGGGGGGCCCCTAGACTTACGGCTAAGGGACAGGCTGCCTAAGTTGGGCCATCTCCACCCAGCTCCAGACTATACTCACGGTCAGTCTCTTCCTGGGCCTGTGCATTGACCTGGCTCACGGTGGCCTGCAGGTCATTCCAGCTCAGGAAGTCCTCACCCATCCCACGCTCCTGTCGCAATTTCAGCAGGGCATCGAAGTAACTGGCAGCGGGGTGAAGGGCAGAGAGGTGAGTAGCATGTAAATCATCAGCCAGAAGTCAGGGGAAAGAGTTGAACGATTTTCCTCACTTGACCTCCAGGACACCACACTCTTTTAGTTCTCTTCTTGCCTCACAGGCTGTTCTTTCTGAGACACCCCTGCTGGTTCCTCCCTGACATCTAACCATGGGAGCACCCCAGTCTTCAGTCTCCAGACCTCTTCTCTCTCCATACTCACACTGTAGGTGATCTCACCCAATCTCATGACTTTAACACCATATGCTCCCGAAAGCACATCTCCAGCCCATTCATTTATCCCAGCCAGCTCCTTGTGATTTCCAAGTGAATGTCTAACAAGCACCTCAAACCCAACAGCTCACATCTGAACTGATTCCCCTGCTTAACCTGCGTGTCCCACTATCTCTCCCATCTTGCCCCAAATCTTGGAGTCATACCTAATTCCATTCTCTCTTATACCCCATATCTATTATATGACCAAATCCTGTCAGTTTGCTTTCAAAATGTATCCAAAATCTGACTCCTCTTCCCCATCTCCACTACCGCTCAAGGCCAAGCCCCCATCATCTCTTGCCTAGATTACTCCAATAGCTGTCTAACAGGTCTCCCTACTTTCCCCTTGTACCCCTGCAGTCAATTCTCAGCACAGCAGCCAGAAAGATCCTGTTACGTAGATCAGATTGCTGGGCATGGTGGCTCACACCTGTAATCCCAACACTTTAGGAGGCCAAGATGGGAGGATAGTTTGAGCCCAGGAGTTCAAGACCAGCCTGGGCAACATAGAGATCCTATCTCTACAAAAAATTAAAAAATTAGCCAGGCATGGTGGCATGTGCCTATAGTCCTAGCTACTTGGGAGGCTGAGTCGGGAGGATCACTTGAGTCAGGAGTTCAAGGATGCAGTGAGCCGTGATTGCATCACTACACTCCAGCCTGGGTGACAGAGCAAGACCCTGAGCTGTGATTGCACCACTGCACTCCAGCCTGGGTGACAGAGCAAGACCCTGTCTCTAAAAATAAAAAAAAAACGAAATAGGTCAGATCAACTCCCTCCTGGCTCAAAACCCTCCCATGGCTTCCTTCCTCACTCAGAGTAAAAACCAGAGTCCTACATGGTCAGGCCTTGGCTACTTGGTCTTCATCTCCCACTCCTCTGTCTTCCTCACTTGACTCCACCACACTGGCTTCTTGGTGTTCTTTGAACACACCATGCACATTGCTTTCTCAAGGCCTCTGCCCCAGATAGACTCATGGCAATCATTTATGCCCTTTAGGTCTCTTTCAAAATGACCTCCTCAGCAAAGAGACTTTGCATAACTACATTATGTAAAACAGAAAAACCGTCCCTACTATGTCTCTACCCGTTACTCACTTTGCCCTATTTTATTTTATTTTTCTCTATGCCTCTTCTTCTTTTCTTTTCTTTCTTTCTTTCTTTTTTTTTTTTTTGAGACGGAGTGTCGCTCCTGTTGCCCAGGCTGGAGTGCAATGGTGCAATCTCGGCTCAACACAACCTCTGCCTCCCGGGTTCAAGTGATTCTCCTACCTCAGCTTCCAGAGTAGCTAGGATTACAGGCATGTGCTACCATGCCCAGCTAATTTTGTATTTTTAATAGAGATGGGGTTTCTCCATGTTGGTCAGGCTGGTCTCAAACTCCTGACCTCAGGTGATCTTCCTGCCTCGGCCTCCCAAAGTGCTGGGATTACAGGCGTGAGCCACTGCTCCCGGCCACCTCATCTTCTTTTCTAATCATCTGTCTCCCTCTACTAGCATGTAAGTTAGACAAGAGCAGAAAGTGTTTTGTTCACTGGTGTTTCCCCAGCACCTAGAGTAATATCTGGCACATGGGTCAGTACTCAAACATCTGCTAGGAAAGAATGAATCAAGGAAGAAAAGAGGAATGACTGTGACCCCATCCACTCCCAGGAAGAAACACAGGCGAGGGAACTGTGAACAGACCCAGAGGGTGGGCCTGGGCCCAAGAATGGGACATCATACACAAGGCAAGTCTCCAACAGAAGACTGCTGAGTCTTGGCTGCATTCCCCCATCCCTCACTCCCAATGTGTGGCTAAGCCTTTCTCACCGCTGGGCATTTTCTCCTTCCACCTCTGCCAGGCCTGTGGCAGGGTTCACCAGGCTGCTCCAGAAGCCACTGGCATCCTGGGCCTCCAGGGCCCGGTTAATCAGGACCACAGCTGAGAGCATCTCCACAGCCACGAAGAGCTCCTCCTGGCCAAGCTCCTACAATGGGTGGGAGGGCCAGTTCCCAAGTGGGCAGGTGAAAGGTCTAAAGGCCTATTCACCATCCTGCCCCCAAGGTTCTCAAATATCCCAGTGTCTCTATCCCAAAACCCCAGTGGCCTGATTCATTCACTAATAATCATCATACGAAATGCTTGAGAATACTTACTATGTGCTCAATTATAAGTACTTCACATACATTATCATTTAATTTTCATAATAAGCCGACAATAGAACCATAGTACCATTAATATCCCCATTTCATGGATGAGCCCACAACCAATAATGTAAGTCAAAATGAGCTGCCTGATTTCAAAGCCCACACTTAACAAGTAAGCTCTACCAGCTCCCATTGGTCCCTACTGCACATCAAGAACTGTATTAGCCGGGTGCAGTGGCTCACGTCTGTAATCCTAGCACTTTGGAGGCCAAGATGGGCAGATCGCTTGAGCTCAGGAGTTTGAGACCAGTCTGGCCTACATGGCAAAATCTTGTCTTTACTAAAAATACAAAAATTAGCTGAGCATGGTGGCGCGTACCTGTCGTCCCAGCTACTCGGGAGACTGAGGCAGGAGGATCGCTTAAACCCAGGAGGTGGAGGTTGCAATGAGCCGAGATCACGCCAGTGCACTCTAGCCTGGGTGACAGAGTCAGACCCTGTCTTAAAATAAAATTTAAAAAAATTGAACTGCACTAGGCCCTGGGTATACAGAGATGAAAATGGAGTGGTCGCCTCCACACTGCACTGCACCACACACCCAAAAAGCTCTGGCTCCATTTCCCTGCCCTGCCTTCTTCTCCTTTTCAAACATCTGCTTATGCTGTGCCCTCTGTTTAGAGCACCCTTCCTATTTTCTTCTCTTTTTTTGTTGCGATAGAGTCTCACTCTGTGGCCCAGGTTGGAGTGCAGTGATGCAATGTTGGCTCTCCCGGGTTCAAGAGATCTCTGAGACTCAGCCTCTGGAGTAGCTGGGATTACAGGCATGTGCCATCACCACACCTGGCTAATTTTTGTATTTTTAGTAGAGATGGGGTTTCACCATGTTCGCCAGGCTGGTCTTGAACTCCTGGTCTCAAGTGATCTGCCTGCCTGGATCTCCCAAAGTGCCGGTATTATAGGCGTGAACCCCCATGTCCAGCCCCCTTACTATCTTCTCCTAACAGAATGTTGTGAACATCAACAACAATAATATTAATAGCTAAAGCTTACTTTCCAGGTTCTTCTCTAAGCAAATATGTTACCTCATTTAATCCTATAGCCTGAGGTAAACATATTATTGTTCACATTTTATATTCAAAGAAATTGAGCAGCAGAGAAAGTAATTAACTTGCCCAATGTCACATAGCTAAGAACTAGCAGAGCCAGATTTGAACTCATGCAGCCCAGCTCAAAAGTCCACAACTTTAGTCACAATGCTTTACTTCTTAGTACTTATTTTATGCTTCCTTGTACATAGTCATTCCTATGTTGAACTATGCCTTTCCTGAGGGCTGTGCCTGTATCCAAGTCATGCTGGGAGTAGACGCTCTATAAACACCTGCTGTGGGTGTAATTCTCTATTGATTCTCCTCCAGGAAGCTTTTCCAGCTCTGCTTCCTCCATTTCCTTGGTCTGAAGACTTCTTCCACCTATGTCATCTGCTCTTCTCTCCTTGTGTCTCTCTTTGGACCCTCAGGTGTATTCTAACTCCTCCGACAGACTGAAAGTCCCTAAGTGAGGGCCCTGTCACTTCACTGTCAGAGAATAGGTATGGACTGGGACGAGGTGGGACAGCGAAGTGGTTCAAAGCATGGGCCCCTGCATCCACTCCCAGCACTGGCACTCACAGCTGTGTTGGGCAAGTGACTTAACCTCTGCATCTCAGTTTCCCCATCTCTAAAACAGAATGCCTCCCTCATAGGGTCTTTTTAAGGATTAAGTGAGTATGTAAAGCAGTGTTTGCTCAAGGTAATGGCTATTAAAATATGCTCAGTAAGGCAGGGATGGTAGCTCTTTCCCCATCCTAATCTTGGGCCAGCATCTCATATTGCACTCACAAGAGGGTGGCCTGGGCTGCCTGTCCTGATCCCTCCAACTACTTGGGGGCTGCAGAGCTAGACCCATATTTCTGGGGCTTACCCCCTGCTGCTGCCGCTGGAGCACTGCCAGCTCCTGCTGGTACATAGCTGACGCAACAGGGTACACTGGAGGCAGCTGGGCCTCAGGGCACATCAGCTCCTTCACAGTGTCAGCCGCCACTCCCCTCTGGATGGCTTTGTTGATCCGCTGCACAGCATGGAGCACTGCAAGGGAGGAGAGCAACAGGTTGTACAGGCTGGGCATTCAGTGGCATCTCCACTCTCCTGACCAACTAGGCTCTGCTGGGGGATCTTGGTGGGGAAATTGCTTTGTAACTGCTCTGAAAAACCTGTGAGGTTTTCTGCTAGGTTTAAAATGCATTTCTAAATGTTCAGGAAGAAAAGGGGCTGGGTCCCTTTAAGAAGAGGCTCTGTAAGAAGCAATTTGTCAGGCCTTGAAATTGAGTAGCTCAGCATGTAACACAGAGTGGCTGTCATGGCAGAGGGTGAGTTCCTAAGGTGGTGAGCACAAGATTGACAGGTGGCTATGGAGCGTAACTAAGATGAGGTTAGTCAGGGGGCTCTAGGGACCAAGGCTTGATGACAGCACAGAGAAATAAGGAACCAGTTCCAAGGTGGAGCCGTTTGCTGCAAAGGGCAGCAGTAAGCTTAAAAGGGGCTGTGGTGCCTCAACGTAGTCTGAGTTTACAAACTCCGTGGCTAACAAAATGCCAAGCAGATAGGGGCACTGGCATCAAGGAGAGCACAATCTACTGGGAAGAGCTAAGGATACCAAAGTACTTACAGTGCACTGCTGTCAATGTCATGTTAGAAGTCCACCTCCCCCCACCCCCACACAATGCTATGGCAGAGCAGGGGAGGAGGGATTCTGGCTGGCAGAGCAGGAAGACTTCACAGAGGAGGAAGCCTTGGAGACAGCTCTGGAGAATGTTTTCACCTGCTTATCAACAGGTGAGAATGCGGGAGAAATGTAACCCAAAGGACCAGAGGCCGGTGACGGGAAAGGCTGGAGGGCAATCTAGGGAGAATAGACAGTTTGCTAGGCTGAACTGGGTGGAATGTGAACAGAAGAGCTGGCGAAGAACTCTGGAAAGGTCTTATCTGCCAGGACAAACAGACAGGACTAAAGTGTGGGCTAAATAATGCAAGAATCCATGAAGGTCTGAAGATGTTCAACAAGGGAGATAAGATCAGATCTGTGCTTCAGAGATTACTCTGGCAGCGGCAATCGGGAATGAACTGAGCAGATTAGGAAAGCAGCCAGTCAGGAGTGGCCTGGGGGCTACTGAAAGCTAGTGAATGTTGGAAAGCTCTGTTAGATGAAGGCAAATGGTTACTGAGCAACCTCTAAACCTGACAGCAAGTCCAGACTAAGGCAAGCAACTGTAACAGGTCTAATGTCCACAGGCTACTGCATTTTGCCTCAGCACTGTTTCTCTTCATACTTGCAGTGCAGATAGATCTCTTGGAGGAAGACAATTACTAACTCGCATTCTTGTAATAAATAATTATATTTGTGGCCAGGCCCAGTGACTCATGCCTGTAATTCCAGCACTTTGGGAGGCCAAGGTAGGCAGATCAGTTGAGGCCAGGAGTTTGAGACCCACCTGGCCAACACAAAGAACCCCACCTCTACTAAAAATACAAAAATTAGCCTGCTGTGGTGGCAGATGCCTGTCAACCCAGCTACTCAGGAGGCTGAGGCAAGAGAATCATTTGAACCCAGGAGGTGGAGGTTGCAGTGAGCTGAGATTGTGCCACTACACTCCAGTCTGGGCAGTAGAGTGAGCCTCTGTCTCAAACAAAAGCAAAAACAAACAAAAAAGAATTATAATTTGTATATAATGTTTTCAAGGGAAACGGAGTTAGAATATGAGCTTCTTGCTCATATTCTAGAAAATTACTACATTTCAGAAGCCAAAGGAATTCAAGCGGGTTGAAACTCAAAATTATAGGTAAACTACCTGGAAGAAAACTGCCTGCCCCAGGAGACCAACCCAGTGCAGTATTGGCATGTCATTATCTCTAAGTTCTTAATGAACTTATCTGTAGTGTCCCCCCAGGCAGCAGGAATACAGCAGATTATGTGAGGGGAGAAGTCCCTAGCCAGGCTGGAAGCAGCAGCAGAGCAGTGTGCACTGCCCAACACAGAAGCCAGCAAAGAGGTGGGATACTCTTCTAAGAGCCAGAGATATGCACAGAGCAGGACTCAGACCTGGAGATGACTTACTGGCTTGTTCCTGGTCACCCTTTGTGTTGGCTGCAGCCACACCAGCCTGGACTTCCTCCTTTTCCAGAAGCTCCACCAGGCCCAGCTCCTAAGAGAGGGAAGAGATACAGTAGAATAGAGTCCTTCTGGGGCCAAGACCATGGTTTACAAGCTGCCAGCATGAGCTCCCAGGTCTACCCAGCCACCTAACCTCAATCATACCTCTCCCCTTTAGGCTGGCTCACTCATCATTATTAACCTTTTTTTTTTTGAGATGGAGTCTTGCTCTGTCGCCCAGGCTGGAGTGCAGTGGCACAATCTCGAATCACTGCAACCTCCGCCTCCTGGATTCAAGCGATTCTCTGTCTCAGCCTCCCGAGTAGCTGGGATTACAGGCGCGTGCCACCACACAGGCTAATTTTTGTATTTTTAGTAGAGACAGGTTTACCATATTGGCCAGGCTGGTCTCAAAGACCTGACCTCAAGTGATCCACCTGCGTCGTCAGCCTCCCAAAGTGCTGGGAATACAGGCGTGAGCCACAGTGCCCAGCCCTATTAACTTATCTTTAACCTTTCTTGCTCAGCAAGCATGTAAAATAACAACACAGACAACACAAATAGTGTTGGGGGAAAAGTCAACTGCGTTAAAAACAAGATTGCTAAGTGGAGGCACCAGTTCAGCAATGGGGGAGCACATTACTGCCTATGTGACTGTCCTTGGGTTCCTCCTGGTCAGTCTGGGGGACTCTCAGGGGCAGAAGCTGATCAGTCTGGTCTACTAGGCCTTGGGGTGATTTAACCATTTAAACATGCAGTCAGCACTTACAGAATACAAAGGACCAACAGTGGTGATCCCTGAGTAAGAGGCCCTCTCCCATTCTACAGTCACATAGAGGGGGTGGCAGGTAATAGACAGAGGCTAACCTGTGCCTTCTGCTCTCTGTCTGAGCTCAATTGCTCCAGGTACCAGACAGCAAAGTCTCTCCTCACCCCTCGCAGGGCCAGGGCAGGGTCTTGAAGGGCCTTGAGCAAGACTTCAGGGCTCTGTCTTTCCAGGGCATCATCAACAACTTCTAGAGCCCCATGGACTGAAAAAAAAGAGACTCCATAACAGACAGTGTGAGAAAGCCACCTCTCATAACCTCCTAGTCCAGCTCCAGGAATCTGCCCTCTTCTTGCCTGCCTGGAGTTACCCCCACCCTTTCCCCCTTGGTTCCTGGGCCCATTTGGTTCAGCCCAAATTCTTCAGCTTGGTCTTCACAGCCTTCTCACTTCACCACCCCAAACCCCAGGGATATCCTCACCCAAACAGGCAAATGCCTACCTATCCTGAGCCTTCACACAGCTCCTACCCAGATCCCCCTTCCTCATGTATTATCCACACTGCTCCTCTTGAAGGACCCCAGTCCAACTTCCCCCCAGCAGCAAGAGCTGCTCCTCTCTGTGGTTCTCCAGTCAGACAGAAACTTCCTGGACACACTACTTCTCCTCTAGACACTGATGGCCAGAAAGCAGTGCACGTACTCCTTGGACTCTGATCTTTCCCAGAGGCAAGAGTTGGCCCAAGTGAGACCACAGGGCTTTCTGGCTTGAGAAAAGCTATCCCCCAACCTCCCAGTGCAGGGGCTTACCCTGAGGGCACCCCCAAACCACTCCTGCCTGATCTCTCTTACCGTTGACATGGTTGATATTGCCCTGGATTTCAGCCTGAGTTAGGTAGTGGTCATAGATGTCCTGGCTTTCTCTTTCATCCTGCAAAAACTCCATTGAGAGGGAATCTGCGAAACCCAATTCAATCTTCTTGTCCTGCTCTTCCCTCCCTGGCTACACTTATTTCTTCTTCTGGGGACCTTCCCAAGGCCAAAGGTCAGTCTGCTCAGAATTCAGAAAATTGTGGGGTCTAAACACCTGGCACTGACACATTTAAGCCAAACCAACCTTTGGAACCTCCAGTCCAATCTCATTCTGTTCTACATTCCAGCGCCCTTCTCAGGCTTCCCTGAAGATCATCCCCCAAGAACCTCTTCTCCAGTCTTCTTTTCTGAATTTTCATCATTCTTCCAAGTTCCTTTCCTATTTCTCTAAAATCACTGACAAGTTATGGTTTCTCTAAGAAGCAATTTTGGATCCTAGAGACATGACAGACAGGAGTCCTGGTTTCACTCAAGACTTTCCAGCCACTCAACTTTTCGGTCCCTGCAACCCAAGACTACTCCTTACATGGTTCCTGGCATTGGCTGCCTTCTCCATCTTGGCCTGGGCCAGTATCTCCTGGTAGATGGCTGCCAGAGGCTCTCGGAGATTCTCCAGAAGAGCACTGGGATTCTGCAAGGCAGCCAGGGTGTCCTCCACCACCCCTCGCTCCACTGCTTCATTGATGGCAAGAACAGCTGCATGGACTGGGAGGGGGCATGGAAACAAGGTCAGGAGGCCAGAGTGAACCCCAGACTGGAGCGCAACCAGTAGCAGGACACTCTAACGTCATCCTTTTTCCCACCCTCAGGGGCCAGGCAAACCAGGTAGCCTTATGGCCCTATCTGTGGACGAGGGCTGGCCAGAATCCATCCAATGGCTGTGAGGCTTGGAGCCCTCCCATACCCACTGGCTCTACTCCTGGCAGGGCAGAGCCTAGTCCTTACCTGCAGCCTCATCCACTGATAGCTCATTGGCCAGGATGCCCCCGATCTTGCTGAAGGCAGGCAGCTGGAGGCCATATTTGGCCAGTTCGGATGCCATGTTGCTGAGTTCCTCAGCTGCAATGATGCCACAGGTGCCCTTCATCAGGTCCAGAACCCCCAAGACCCTGCCCAGGCTGCGGTGGTAGGGGAAGGAGCTGGGCTTACCTGTGAATTTCACTTTCCCGTATAGATCATGTATCTGAGGGGCCAATCCCAGCCGGAAGAGGAAGAGACTAGGAAAAAACGGAAGGCATTGGAAGGCACTGGGGCCTATTCATTTTGACACTCTGCCCACGATGGGTTTGAAGGAGATACTATGGGGACCTAGAGATGAAGACCACTCAGCACCTGTCCTCAAGTCATCCCCAACCCACATAAAGAAATATGACCATAAATCAGCCCAAGGAAAGTGCTGCAGAAGGTAAATAAGATGGTGTTGGGGGTCTGAGGGGATTAGGAAGGCTTCACAGATAAGGCCACATTGCAGTAGCAGGTCACTCAACGGAGACAGAGGACAGGAAGGGCACAGAGCAGATACCTGCTGAGCTAAGGCACAGGGGCACAAAGGGACATGAGAAATGAAGTCAGAAAGAGAAACACAAGGAACTGGTCAGTCACTTGCTGTGATTTAGCCAACTGGTTGCTGATGGCTGGCTGTAAGTAGGACCAAAGAGCCTACACCATCCACACTAAGTGGCTTGCCTGTGTTGCTCTCAATAGGTCCTGTTCTGATTCCTTTATGCCCAGTTACACACTGAAGGCCCTACCCTGCTACCTTCCTGCCTCTGGTACCCTGCTTGCCCTTCCCCTTCACCCACACAGGCCATACATAAATGTGCCACAGACATGCACACAAATCTAAACACAACTCTGAAAATCTGAAAGCTCACTCGCCTGAGCAGGGCTCCCTGTGCTCTACCCTTCATCCTTCTCGCTGAGTTTGTTGCTGCTGATTGTTGGTTGCATCCACCTAGAGGAACCTGGATGATAAAATTTGAGGTTTCTCACCTGAGAGCATGGATGCAGTAGACTACCCGGGGCATGTTCTTTTTGTCATAGATGTCCGTGGTCTCTGGGAAGAAGGTCTAGAAGAGAAACCAGGCAGTTACTGCCATTGGGAACCTTTAAGCAGCACCAAATATGGAGGGGGGTGCCGAGGCATGGGTCTTCCTCTCCAACCTGAGGTGTGCGCTCCCTTGTTACCTGGGGTATCTAGGTCAGTCTCCCCCAACCATTTCAAGTCAAAAAAGTATAAAAGAAAGGCACTGCGGATGCATACTAAGCCAAGGCTCAGTCACAGACACATAGTCCTAGGGTGCCCTGGATTAACCAAACACTAGATAAGGCTATCAAGGCTACAGGATATAAGCCATATCCTCCAAAAATAATAATAACAACAACAACAACAACAAAAACAAAAAAAAAAAAACAAAAAAAAAAACAAGCCCCCAGTTGTCTTCCAGATGTCTACAGTGAGCCTGCATGCCTCACCTTAGACCCTTGCCAGAGAGGTGGTATGCTGGAGAGCTGGCCTACTCCCATGGAGGGCCCAATGAGGCATGTATTGCCAAGAACCACAAAAGTGTCAGGCTGTTATCCCTGTCTCCAAACCAGCGGCTTCTGATCAATGAGAGACCTTCTAAGAACCGAGTGGCACCAGGTATGGCTTCTCAATGCCACCTGCCAACTGTAATGAGGCCTAACCTCAATATATCTTCGTTACATTTAGATTCACAATAAAAGACCAAATTTAGAGACCTAGAGTATTCCAGTCCCACTGAAGACACATGACATCTATTGCTTCTGCCTCCCATCAAAGTGTCTTTCTTTACTGCTGATTCCTGTATTATAGTTCCTTTCTACAGTGAAGAAAAACAAAGCAGAAAGAAACCATACATTGTTGAATCCTATCATGCCTTCATTTGTATAGCTCTTCACAATTCACAAAGGGAGTTCACACAGACCATGTGATCCTCCTGACAACATTGTAAGGTAGACAAGGCAGGGCTCACTATCCCCATTTTATAGACAAATAACAAATTGAGGTTCAAAGAATGAAATCATGTGTCCAGTTGGGATTTTGGACCTAGGCTTCTAATTCAAAGTCTACCACCTAGGGATGTGTATACCCTTGCTTCACACTGTGAAATTTGGTGGAGATAGGGCTGGCCAATACGAGCATGACATAGCAGGCCCTCCTGCACCCCCTACTGCATAATGGGAACCGTGCCACTCAGGCCAGGGAAACTTCACCTCCTTTCATTCACAGGGAAGAGGAGGCAGAGAAAAGATAACCTGATTCAAAGACACACAGCTGCAAGGAACTGTTCTCTTAGATTAGTTTAGAAGACACATGGAAATAGGGCTAAAGGGTTCAGGGAGATTAAAGCATGGGATTGTAGGGGGTGGCTGGTAAGGAGTAAAGATGAATACCAATCTTCAGGCCCAGTATTACCGAAGGCAGACCAATGTGGGCTATTGCAGACAGCCAAAAGTTGATGTTGTCTGTGTGACGGAAATGTAAGCCAGTTGCCTGAAAGGGAAGGAAAAAGAAAATCTATTTCCACAGTTCTCAGCACTCCCTGTGGGTACAGCCCAGACTACAGCTTAAAGATTCAGGAGAGATGGGCAGAGGGGAACCAGAGGACCATATCTTGTGAATTTTCCATCCTTACCAGCACAGAAAAACATAGATTAATAACACTCCTTTTTATCCAGATTTGGACAATAAGTTATATGGTCACTGTACCCTCACAGCTTTGAGGAGAAGGGATCGTTTGAAGGGAAGTGGGTAGAAGGTGGAGTCCAATCCTCCCACCTGGTACCGCAGCTGCTCCACATCATAGATCTTCTTCAAGGGAACCACGGAGGGTGCAAAACAGTGGCCCAGCTTGGCCAGCAGCACTCCATTGCGAAGGCTCTCCTCCAGCTCCACCGGGGAAGGAAGCTCCTCCTTCAGGCAGGCTTCCATCCAGCTACGAACATGAGAGCACCTTCTCACAAACTCTGGCAGACCACAGTGATTTATTCGAACAACAGGAACTTCCCTCTCTCCCTCCCTTTAAGTGGCCCCTGACCCTCCTCTGCTTCCTGTTCCTGCCCTACCTCCAGCTCCCCTCTCTGCCCATTGCCTGTCTGTTCCCACTTTCTCCCAGGCTGCCCCAAATATCTGGATTGGCCAACCCTCAGCCCCACCCACCCAGCAAATCTTCCTTGACAGATCCTGAATCTGCCCATCTTCAGTGAGGCTTAACTGTTACATAGCTTCTCACTCAGTCTAGTTACATCTTTTTTTCTTTTTTTTTTT